GATAGATAGATAGATAGATCTAGCAGAAACGTCTTTGAGTTTTTCTTCGTTTAGAATCAGGTCCTGCATTTGACACAGTAAAATCAGGAAACAGTTGGTTTGATGCCGCTGAGCATGTCTGTGTTTCCTTCCTGACCATGACAAAATGTAGCACCTTTATATCTGAACTAAATTTGTCAACATAGATGAATGAAGCCGTAACCTCCCGTACACTCCAGAGTTTGCCCCAGCTAACACTACCCCCTAACAGAGGCCACTAACATAGTTCCCAGTCAAAAATATCCAGAATCCATGGCGTGGCTCCAAAACAAGCTCTATGTTTGATGTTAATACAGTTGCACAAACAAACAGGGCTGCAGTGTCACCAAATTAATGAAATACCAACAACAAAAAAGTATAGAGATTTTGGAGTAAACATATGATTAAAACAAATAACAATGCTTCAAATAAAAATGGTTTTGGTTAGTTTTTTAATTTATCATCATTGTTTTGTTCTTTACAACAATCAGAAGTGTATTATAAAGATGATGATGATGATGATGAGAAGAAGAAATGATATTTCTTTACACCTTCATCTGCTTCCTTAGCTGTGTCTAGTTCCCTGTCTGTCTCTTTAGTTTTAGCCAATCAGCTTCCTTCCGTTGTTTGTGTACCTCCATTTCATTCCTCTCACCTGTGCCTTCCACCTTCAGCTTGTTTTATTGAAACCATTTATCTGACTGTCTGAGCTGTGAAGCAGTCTGAATAGACTAGGACAAGCTTGTTGTTCATTAAGGAACGTGAACTCCTTGTCATTGTGACACAGCACACTACTGCACACAATGAAATGTGACCTCTGCTTTTAACCCATCACCAAAGTGAACAGTGGGCAGCTTTAAGCACCCAGGGAGCAGTGTGTGGGGATGGTGCCATGCTCAGAGCACCTCAGTGGTAACTTGGCAGCTGGTGGACTTCTGGGTTCAAGTCTGCTTCCTTAACCACTAAGCCACCATTGCCCTTAAGGTCACAGTAGTTTCCTTTCACATTTGTTAAAGAGAGCAGAATACTATTCTGGATAGATCTGTAGTCGTCTCATTAAATGCCACACGTGTTAAAAGGAGAATATAAATACAAGTAAAAGTCAGCCCAAATTACATGTTGCTAAATTTAATTTAAGTTTTGATGATTAAGAATAACAATTCTACAAAAGTAAAAACAATTGCCTTCCACACAATGAATGAGTGGATAAATACGAAAAACAGTCTTTTAGTGGAACCTCTATTAAAAATATTTAGGTAGTTCGGAAGTTATATTTTTGTATATGGACAAACGGTGACAAATGTTTTTAGTTATTTGAAGATCAGCTTGAAGGTCAGTGTTGACTGGTTTGTGCTCTCTGTGGTGATTAGCTTGATAGGATAAATTACTATAGGCATAATAGAACAGGTGTTTGTATCTATATGAGGCCCGACTCATATAGAGTGGGTGGGTGATCCTGCCCTCAACCTGCCCTCGACCTTTGACCTCTGTCATTGAGTCCATCTCCCTCTCAGCCTAGAAAGGATTGAGCATTAAAAAAAATGAATGGACACATTTGCTTTACTCAATGTTTCTGTTTTACATGTCAAAAAAACCATGACATGTGGTTTTTCCTTCTCCACATCAGCTGGTCACCATGGCAATGAGCTTGTTTTATATATGCTGACTTTTTATTTCTGGCTTTATTTCTGTCTCAACATTTTGAGTGATGTCTTGAAACTAAGGAAAGTTGAACTCCTTGTCATTGTGACACAGCACACCACTGCACAAAACCAAATGTGACCTCTGCTTTTAACCCATCACCAAAGTGAACAGTGGGCAGCTCAGAGCATCTCAGTGGTAACTTGGCAGCTGGCAGCTGGCTTAACCACTAAGCCACCACTGCCCTAAAATGTGTAACCCAGCACAGATTAAAGTTTACAAAGGGTTAAGGTGTTCTTTTTTTCTCTACCTTCTGCCTTTGTCCCGTTTCTCTGCCTTGTCTCTCCAAACCATCATGCCATGCTGAGATGACTCTGTTGTCTCTCCAAGCTGTCCCATGAGCCCTTGCCCTGTTCTCTATTTGTTTGTAAGATCTCTTCCCCGTAGGCCAGAGTTTTCACATCTGCAAAACTTTGTGTGTATTTGTGTGCATCTGTGTAGGCGCCCAAGATCCTAACAGTGTATTTGGGGTTTGTCTGTGCGTGTGCTGTAATCAGTGTGTAATCCTTCCCCTAGGCCACTGTTCCAAACAGCTGGACTCAGAGAGCCTCTGGAGGGTTTCTGTACTATTCAAGCATCCTTTGCTCTTTCCACCTGACCGGGTGGGTTGTGTATGTATGTGTGTGTGAAAGAGACTTCCATGTCTGTTTCTGTGTGTTTTAACAGGTGCAGTACCAAGAGCTGAAACTCGATCCCAGTCCCAGTCCAAATAAAAGGAAGAAAAACAACCCCGGGTAGATAACTGTGTCCACCCACCAACTTCTTTCTCCACTTTCTTCTCTGCTATAACTGGACACCTAGGAGCAGAGGACGGCGGCTCTGGACCAGCTGAGATCAACTGTCTGTTCTTTTGTTACTTCCTCCTTTACTTTTTTCTATCGTCCTTTTTTCTGAGAATTTGTGATGTACAGTAGAGATTTACTTGGTGTGGCTTTTTATGAGCCATAGAGAGAAACTTGTTTAGTTACAATCACCATTATGCTTTTAAAAGATTTAAAAGTAAAGAAGTGATGTTTTTTTGTCTGTAATTGTTATGACAGCTCAGTAAAGTCTTTCTGTTTATTTGCCACCAGTGTTAGGTGATGCGTTTTAACAATTGACACATTAATCCAAAGACGCATTCAGTGTAGCCATGTTTATCAAAGTGCAAGCCTTACAATATCATAGTCAACATTTTACCCATTTTTATCTCAGACTGCAGTGATTTCATTTCTAGTGTAGTGTTTATTGTCCTTTCTGTTTTTCCTCTAAAATGTTTCTTATTCTTTTTAACCCTCTTCATTTTAATGACGTTCCAGTCACTGACAGTAATATGGATTGAACCCACTTTATTTAGCCAGCCAGATGGGCTCCAGGTACATTCCTCTTAAAGACACAGACACTTAAACCAATAACCTAAAGGCTTGACGTATGTTTACAGTATACCATGGCTTTATGAATTATTTATTTCTGCTTGCTGTTTTCAAGGACAATATGTGGCATCTTTTCCTTCAATGTTGTCTGTGTATCGTGTTGCAGAGACACTGTACATACGGAAGTTTGAATTTAAGCCGCCTGCCTGATTGTGAGCGATTGTGAGTCACAGTAGCTTCCTGTAGGAGAAGTCATTAAGGACGTGCTGGAGTCGTCCTCACTGGGCGACAGTCTTCCATTCTTCCAACTTAGATATTAAAACTGCTGCTAGTGCTGCTTTTCTCCTCATCCTCCTCTTCGCTGGGCTCATCCTCCCCTCCTCACTACACTCCCATACCTCTGACTGTGCGGACTGGGTGTGAAAGTGCTGCTGGCAAACAATCAGGAGAGAGCAGTTGTGTAACCAGATTTGGAGTGCAGCTGCTAAAACCCTGTGCATGTCTGACAGTATGTCAGAGACCGAGACACCAAGCTGATATTAAGGCACGATAGAGGTTAGGTGAATGCCAGGATAATTAGGGGTGGGTTCACGCCTGTCACACGAAGACACAGTAGATCATGTGAACCCTACGGAGAGGCGCAAGGAAATGTAGCAGAGTTGTGACATGAACAGAGCAGCAAAAGGCCAAATATTTCAAAATGTTATGCCTGGTAAAATACTGCCAATATTGTGTTTTTAATCAAAATATTGATAGTATTTTGTCAACTGACAATATCTGCAGAAACACAAATATGATATTTTTATATTTATTTTCTTAATAGAAGGGATGGAAAATCCACAGAAACCACAGAGAAAAGAAGACCAACACAATTTTGCCTGTTTTTGAATCGCATCCGTTCAGATGAGCATAGTTTCTGTGATAAGAAAGGGTTTAACAGCTGTAGCTTTTTGTTTCAAAATGTCTTGAATGACTTCTGCAACATACTTCACAAAACAATATTGCTTCAGATAAAACATTTTTTTTACACTTTCATTCTCACTTCCTAACAATAGACTCTACTTATTGTGTCGTAACTAGACTGTGATTAATTCATACATTTTCAAAAGCCCTGGTAGGTTTTTCTAATATAATCAACAAGGCACCAACGTGACTCCTGGTGTGAATCAATCTAATCAAAAACACAACGTTTCTGTCTTCCTGCTCTGTGTATGGTGCTGGGATGCATCTGTTTTCCTTGGACAGCCAAGGCATCACTGACCATTTAAGCATTTCTGCCTGCTGATTCCTCTAGCTTGACATTGAGCGTAAGAGAGGGTGGGGTGGGGCAGATGTTGGACCTATGCTGTCTAGCTATAGAAAGTTATGTAAACTTGTTACAGTACAGGGAGTCCTTGACTTAAGGCAGTGTTCCGTTCCTACAGTGGGATGAAAGTCATCTCACTGTGGGGACAGTGGTCCCTGTACTTTATCTATTTCCCCTTGTTCTCTAATGTAAGAAACAGGTTTTAACTTCTTCGACTTTTATTTTGGTGCCTTTGAGGCTTGTTTTGGTGTCTCTTTGGCAAAGGCAGACTCCTGGCAAGGTTCTAGGTTACTGAGGGTTTAATATCAACAATGTTAACCCACACACACATATGTAGATGTCGTATGTACACATGTAGACATATGTAGACTACCCTGTATAATAAGGTAGTTGCAGTACTTTATCTCTTCGCGTTGCTGTGGTGATATAGATGCCACCTCTCTGTGCCAAGTGTCAGGGCACAGAGTAGAAACTGACTTGATCTATTTGAAATGCTGACCCTCTTTCTTCTCATATCTGTGTCTGTGAGCCTCTGCAGTCCCACACGGAAACATCCATGTAAACCTGGCACAATACACAGATAACTGCACCTACTGTACTTGCTCACAGAAGACAACACATCCCATTTAAGCAGGCACATTTGACTACAGACAAACATGTTCTGTGTGATGCTGTGCCCCAGACTGACTGCCCTCTCCATCTGCCCCATCTCCTGTGCCCACAACTCAACTTTGATCTGTCTCTCTACAGACAGAGGCATCGTCCACATGAGCGTTTGGATAGACTCATTTATGCAATCAAAGATGTGTTGCTTTTCTTAGTGCCAGTGCGTGTTAAGAGTTCCCTCCAGCTGTGGACTGATGTGTAGATTCTGTTGTGATGTTTGTTTGTGTGTGTGTGTTCAAGCATGCAGCAGAAGTGCCAGCTGTTATTGGCTGTGCTGGTGGAATGTGCTGTTAGCGAGATGAGCAGCAAGTCCTTATGTCACAAGACAAGGCTCTGAGGAAACTTAGGCCTGAGATGTCTGTGTTAGAGGTGGTAGTGTGTGTGTGTGTGTGTGTGTGTGTGTGTGTCTGTCTGTCTGTCTGTCTGATGCCATTCCAGATCCATCGTCCCATCATGCTTCTCTCTGGTAGCTCTCTCTGTGGTACCCTGCTTCGTCAGTAGGCAGGGTTGCGACCCTGTCTAAAGGGGACAGTCTCCTGGGCTTCTAGTTGAGCATCTGTTAAAAGACCTCAGCTCAGGCTTCATTGGTGGAGGGTCTCCTCTCATCACACTGATCCAACTCTCTCTCATCTTTGTGTTACCTTTTACCCCTGTCTGTTTGCCTCTGCCTGTCTTTATTACAACCCTCTCAGCTACTACAGTACATCTCTCTCCTGCCATTTTGTGATGCTCATGCCCTGCCTATCATCTTCGTCGTCACCTCTCCTGCTTGTTTCATTCCCTCTTTACCCATCCATCTACATGCTTAAATATCAACTGGCTTGGCTCTGTCACATTGATTTTGTTAGGTTGTTTTGAGGAATCCACTTGAAAGACAATAACTGTTGTTCACCCAAGATCTGATGTGACTGATTACAGCCTCTTCCACAAACACACTCTGTGCTTCCCGAAGGATGGCTTTTGATAATGCCTAAAGAGACAGTCTGAATACCTATGTGTCTCCTACTGTACATAGTTATTTTACAGCAAATTGTTGTGACTATTGTGTGGTATTGCGTCCAAAAAAAACATTGTTTTTCCTTTTTTAAAACCATAAATAATTTGGTTTTGGGTCTGTTTTCAACCAAACCAAAGTGTTTTTATTTTGTACAATGTAGAATAAATATATTATATGAATGAATGTATCAGACTGACTGTTGCAAAGAGTGAAAAAAACACTTTTATTTGCACCAGGTTGAAATTAGACTATTTCTTAAAACAATACTGTACATAGGTAATGATTAATTAATTTATGGTTGTATTTTCTACTGTATGCCTGTCGATTGTCTGGTGATAATATTGTAGTAGATGTGTGCCTGCCATATTTTCTAAGATGTCTCTCTTTTGTCTGCCTGCAATGTTGCCTGCCTGTGACTTTATTATGTGCCCAAATCTGACCAATGACATTTAAGTAAAGGGAATTTACTGCTGTAGCAGAGTTGTGTGAATACTGTTGGTCGGAAGAGGTTAAAAAAATAATAAAGTGTATATTTCTGGTTTGAAAAACTAAATGCATCTAACGCATGTTGCTTATTTTGAAAAGAAAGGTTTAGTTCAGCTTTTTAAGCTGAACTAAACTATCAGTAAAGATTTGATCCTGAGGCTTTAAAGGGATTCAATTTCAATAAGTTTATTATAAATGAAAATATACAAAAATCTGAGGTAGCAACAATCCAGTATGTGTTCTAATAAACATAAACCAAAATATACTCTTTTTGTTTCTAAATATAAACAGAGGAGCAACGCTTTGACATTAATATTTTTGGAGTCAGTTCATTGTGTGCAGAGGTGGGTAGAGTAGCCAAAAATTGTACTCAAGTAAAAGTAGTTATTTCAGAATAATATTACTCAGGTAGAAGTAAAAAGTAGTCATCCAAATAATTACTTGAGTAAGAGTGAAAAAGTACCGTACTTGGTGAAAAACTACTCAAGTAGAGTAACATCTGATATATTTTATCAGCTAGGAAAAAGTAGGAGGAGAGTTTATCCTATCAATAAAATACTAAAATAAAACAAATTAATAAATACCATTAAATAATCTTTATGTAAATTTAAGTAGGCCTACTTGAATAAAAATACAAATCAATGAAATAATAAATAAAAGTGTACATAAAAATAAATATTTACAAAATAATTTAAAAAAAAAAAAAGATTTTCAGTCAAACTTACCACAACATATTTCCGGTTAGACGTTAAGTTTTTTAATGTTGAAATATCTGTTTGTTTTGGGAGACACAAAAGACACTGCATAATGTAACTAAACACCGTACTGTTTGTAAACTAACATGTTTCAGTATGAGTCCAGGTGTGTGCCTCCTCGTCGTTGTCTGCATTACCGACCATTGATTCTACAATTTTTTGCTATCAAAGACGGTGGATACTAACCTGTCCCACGGCTGAGATTGAGTATGGTCACGTGACAAGAATGCGCGGCAAGGGCTACGTTTTACTGGTTAAACACTGTGATGCAGTAGAGCCTTGGGCAGAAGTCTCTCTCTGACAAAATAAAAGTAGAGATACTGGATCATGGACAAATAGTGAACTAGATATTAGCTAAAGCTTTATCCAGTATCTCTGTAACGAGTAATGAGCTCAGTATAGCCTAATGTAGCGGAGTAAGAGTACTGTTTTTTCTTCATGAATCTACTCAAGTAAAAGTAAAAGTATAGTGATTTAAAACTTCTCCTAGAAGTATTTTGAAAACGTTACTCAAGTAAATGTAACGGAGTAAATGTAAGTCGTTACTACCCAACTCTGATTGTGTGACTAAGGAAGCATCAAATGTCAAAGTTACAATGGGATATATGATCAAATAGCCACAGAAACATGATCAGAGATCCAGTGTTTCAGCCTTTAACCTTAGAAGTTTCAGTATTTCCAGTAGGAAGTGTGTGTTCTGTCCCTCAACAACCTGGGACATGTGACTCCAGTACACGCCTGTGCCAAACTCCAACAATGTCTCAACGTCTTCTGCAAGCCTAATGACTCGCTGGTCTGTCCAACCTGAAGTCACTTTTTGGAAGGTGTGTGTCTTTAGGGCCCTGACCAGATTTCCACCCAGGCTGTGGGTCTTGTCCCTGCTTTTCTGGAGGGCTGACAGGCCCATCTCCTGCTGGTAGGAGAAAATTAAGTGGGCCAGCAGAGTGGATCCAGCCTCCAGCAGGGGTAGGTTCACGACCTCGGTGGCTGTGTTACCCAGCGTAGAGTCCCTGACCTGTGCGCTCAGAAAGAGCTCCTCCCGCTGGCTAGCATCAGAGACCAGGTTCAGGGGGGTGCGTCCACATCCATCTATCAGCTGGAGAAGCACTGACCCTAGAGGAGGCAGGTGGACAGGATTAGATAAAACAAACCCTGATGCTCTCTTTTATCCTTTAAGACTCCCAGTTAAAAATGAACAGAAGTCATCTCACTGTGGGGGCAGTGGTCCTTGTGTTTCATCTAGCTCCCCTTTTTCTCTAATATAGGTAATACGTTTTATCTTCTTTCATTCTAAATAATTCTCTTTACCCTTTGGGGTAAACCCTGGCCTATAGTCAGACTTGACCGGTGAATGTAAACAAAGAGATCTTGGTCATGTAGTGTCAACTAGCTCCTGTGCAAACTAGTCGGTTAGTTTTAATGCTGTATGTCAGAATGATGGAACAAGACTTATTATATTTCCTGGAGGTGTAGCAAACATATGACAAGGGTGTCAACATCAAAACCTGTAACTAAAACTGTGACAGGGCCTGTTACGACTAGGTTTACAAGCTCTTGCCTGTTTTTCTGTACTGTTTCACTCCTATTGTATATATACATATGCTTTCTTTTCTTTTATCACAAAATTAGTTCTCTGTTGCATGCAACAATACCGATGACTGACACAGCCAGAGCCATGTGAAACGTCACTGGTCACAACATAACCTACCTTATGTTGACATACCCACTAAAATGCTGTAAGCAAACCCATCACAAATATATGAGGTCAAAAGCAGGACACAGCAACAGAAATAAATAGCCCAGAGACACAGGGTGAGAGTAAGTGTAACAGCTGTTTTTCCAACGGGCCTCCATGCCAACCAGGGGCTTTTAGCTCACTTCAGCAGTAACTTAAGCTGACATCTCGTCTTAACTGTGCAACTAAAGACTTGTTTGTGTAAAAGGGCACCGAGGGTTGGTGAGCTGATGTTTTCAAAGAAAGAAAACCAGCATTTGGGATCAATCTGAAGAAACTGGAAAAGTGTCGATATATCAGGACCACGGAGAGCTACATTTCTATGGACCTGAGCAAGCAGACCTGATTGGTTTGAATTATTTAATATTAACACAATTTACTCAAAAGTAGCAATTGTCATTTTCAGCATTAGGGATAATCTAGAACTTAAAGAGAGTATTTTGTTTTGTCCGGTGTAATTATTTTAATCAAGTGCCAATGTGAGATTGTGTGAGATTTCTGTTAATGAAACATACTGACGTGAGAAAGATGAAGGCTAAAATGATTTAAAAAGATGAAAATATTAAAGAGCTCAGATAGAGATTTGTAACAATAATTGAGGATTAATTTCAGTGTGCTATTCGTTAAAGTGATAAAGCACCGTACGCACGCCAGAATCACAGCTGGTGATGAGAAGTTTGAGGAACATTCACCAACATACAGTGGCTTGCAAAAGCCACAAAGTTATTCATACCCCGTGAACTTTTCCACATTTTGTCATGTTATGACCAAAAACATATAATATAATTATATATAATAAATAAATATGTATTATATTGGAATTTTATGTGAAAGACCAACACAAAATGGCATACAATACATGGATTATACATGATATAAATTTTGACGTAATGACTAAATAGAGACCACCAGTGTGTAATTTAATCTCAGTACAAATACAGCTTTTCTGTGACAGCCTCAGTGGTTTGTTGAGAAAATATTGGGGAGCAAACAGCATCATAAGGTCCAAGGAACACACCAGAGAGGTCAGAGAAAAAGTTGTGGAGAAATCTGAAGCAGGGTTAGGCTATAAAAAGATTTCCCAAGCTTTGAACATCTCACGGAGCACTGTTCATTCCATCATCCGGAAAGGAAAAGATTATGGCACAACTGAAAACTTACCAAGACACGGTCGTGCACCTAAACATACAGGGCAAACAAGGAGAGCACTGATCAGAGATACAGCCAAAAGGCCCATGGTGACTCTGGATGGACTCCAGAGATCCACAGCTCATGTGGAATCTGTCCCATGACACTATTAGTCGTGCACTGCACAAATCTGGCCTTTATGAAAAGGCCAGATTGTTAAAAGAAAACCACAAGAAGTCCCGTTTGCAGTTTGCCAGGGTTAGAGAGACACAGCAAACATGTGGAAGAAGGTGCTCTGGTCAGATGAGACCAAAATTGAACTTTTTGGAATAAATGCAAAACGCTGTGTGTGGCAGAAAACTAACACTGCACATCATCTGAATGCACCATCCCCACTGTTAAACATGGTGGTGGCAGCATCAGCATCAACACTTTGTGTTGGTCTTTCACATAAAATTCCAACAAAAATATATTTATGTTTGTGGTCGTAATGTGACAAGATGTGAAAAAGTTCAAAGGGTATGGATACTTTTGCAAGCCACTGTATAATTTGTAGTCAACTAAACAGAACTTCAGAAGTCCAAATAGAAACACATATGTAAAGAGTACATACCTCTCATGCCTCTGCCTAGGATGTTTGTTTCTTACTGCTGAATGTAAATACACTCCTGGAACTTGGTGTGTAACTTTACAAGAAATTATGAATTCTCCATTTAGTCAAAACCTCCACTTTTATTACATTGAATCAAAACATATTCTTTACCATTTGAAAGACTGACAGACCATCAAAAACATTCATCACCTCATTGACAAGAGTAAAATTCAAATTACGTTACACTACATTCAAAACAGCTCCTGTAACCTTGGCCTTGACCTCTGAACCTCACTGCCTCACTGCAGTTATGGCTGAATGCAGCCCTTTTGTGATCCCTCCACTCTTAAGAAGCCCTCACAGACTTTTACCATCACCCTCTGTCTATTCTTCTGCTTTGTCCACTTAGACTGAAAAAGCCATTTTCCAGTGTCAGACAGGGCTGTGCGCACTTAGCCTACTCGCCTAACACAGGTTTTAGTGTGAGCCCTTTGTTTGCTTTCAGAAAGTCCCATTTCTGTGGCAAACTGCACTTGATGGCACTTGACTGTTCAACCTCAGCAATGCTTCTGCCACTTGTGAGCGAGTTTATGGCTCTGTGGAGGCACGGCATGACACATAGACGTCTGAAATGCCTGCTTGATACCACTGCTGGCACTTGTTTTTGTGTTTGACAGACACTGTGGGAGTTTAGGAGGGACAATCACGTGGAAGTGTATCCTGACATAAACCTTGAAAAATACCATTTTGACAAAGAGACAGCCTAGTTTTAAATGGCACTGCTTTACAAACACCAGACTGCTCTGGGTGTTCCTGTTTGCCACAGCACTAACACTGTGTGCAGCAGTTATGAGATAATCGGTGAAAGCTCACGTAGCTGTTAGCAAGGGAAGGTCAGCCCTCGTCTACCATCTAGTGCTTCAAGCCTGAGTGGCAAAAACTCAATCTGCATAAATTGTGGCATTAATCTACATAAAGTTTTACATAAGCGGCAAAATTTAAAATGCAGGGGTCACATGTTGAGGGCAGCAGTCAAGGACAAAAGAGGCCAGGTTTGATCAAAGTGGGCAAAAGAGAAAGAACAGGGAGGATGGAGGCTTGTGTTTGTGTATAGTTGTTCACAGTAGTTCAACATCACAAGGTTTCTGCCCAAGCTATTCTCACCAATATGTTCCTCTAGCACAGGGGTGTCAAACTCATTTTCACCAAGGGCCACATCAGCAATACAGTTCCCCTTAAAGGGCCAGTTGTATCTGGAAGACTGTATAGATCAGGGGTCCCCAACCCCCGGTCCACGGACCAGTACCAGTCCATAGATCCTTTGGTACTAGGCCGCAGTGGTACACAATGAAGATGTGTACTTCATTTTTACTAATTAAATTAAAAATTAGGTTAAGAAACTTTTAAGGTTTTTAAGCTCCCACAGCCACACAAAACGGTTTGGCGGGCTACATTTGGCCCCCGGGCCTTGAGTTTAACACATATGCTTTAGCATGTTAGGCTTGCTGTTAACTACCCCCTCCCTCCACCCCCCAGAAACTAAAACAAAACTATATTTAGTTTACAATTACAAAGACACATGAAGTTATTTTTCTTTATCCTACATCCTCCTTTGTACAAAGGAGGCTTAATGAGAACCAACCTTGAATTAAACTCTTTAAGGTGTCAAACCAAATATGATCAAACATTCTTGAAAATTTAGCGTAACAATGTGGGGTTTCTTTTGTTGTAAATAAAGTTAATAATTAGCAATAGAGGCAGGTTATTCAGTAACACAGCTGGATATTAAGGATGCTTATGAAAGAGAAGTGACCAAATGCTCTACTTTTCATAGCAGGGAGCTTTTTGTATTATTAAATATTTATTATAGAAAATAATTTAGTTTTCACTATGTAGAATAAATAATACCATGATATTAACAGAGTAAAAAAAAGCCCTGTATAAATCCTAAAATTGCTTGTGAAGTCCAGTGAAAATGGCTGCTTTGTTGTACTTTTATAATATGTATCAACTTTTCTGGAGATGTGTGTGTGTATCCACTAGGAAAAGTGCCTGTGTGAAAACCGGACTCTGAAACACTCATTTCAGCAGAAATCTGCTCCAGTGCTTTCAATCTTACCCACTCGCCACTTTTTTCAGCTGCTGCGCTTTTCTCTCACACACAGTACAGGATGCAAGTCATCAGCTCCAGAGAAAAATAGAGTGGAACAGTTTCCCAGCATTTCCCATCGTCAGTGTGTCAACCTAGCTGACAGACAGACAGGCCTCAGCCCAAGACAGGGATGATGTTGGTGTGTGTGGAGGAGACTAGTGGAGCAGTCTGGATGGTTTAGCCAACATTGGTATGTTATTCACTCAGAAATAGTACAGTACTGAAGCTTTACTGAACAAATCTATGTTAAATTGAAAATTTGGGTTTTTTAACAAGAATGGTTACTGAGGTATTTGCTGGGTGTTCAGATACAGTATTTTGTACTGTACACAGTGGAGATTAAAAAAATAAAATAATTACCTGAGGGCACTGGCTAATTACAACTATATATATGGGGTATATATATATATATATATATATATATATATATATATATATATATAAAAGTATACATACACATACAAACATACTTATATATATACACACACACACACACGCCATATTTT